AGGGGAGTGGGAGGAAAGATTTGTGTTTTCTGGCAGCTCTTTCTTTTGGCTCCACTCATTGCACTGACATCTTAATTAAATCCAGGCTCTGTCGCAGGCTCGACTCTAAATACCTCCCTTTTGTAAATGGCTGTGTGTACATGGAAAAATAGACACGCAGATCCCCTTGCGAGGGAGGAAATGATCCTGAGTCGTTCCAGTCTTGAAAACATATCTGGCACTTAGGGAGTCAAAGGAGAAGCTTGCCGGGGACATGGGAGCTTGCTGAGCCGGGGTCTAGGCTCGACCACCCTGCAGAAGGCAGAGCTGCCCCTCCTGCAGCTCTCAAGCCCTTCCCCTCCTCCACATCCAGCTGAGCTGTTGGGCTCTGCCCAGATGTTGCGGAGTGCGTGCGGTTGGCCGGTGCCTCCGAGTCACCTCTCTTCACCCCGCGCCCGGCCGACCGCGGTACGTTTGTCATGCACGGGAAGCAGCCCTGCAGCCCTTTCGGCGAGGAGAATAAAAGCCACGCCGCGTGCCGTCCGGCTCTCTCGAGCACCCTCGGTGTGCTCGGCCATGTACCCGCATCTTCAGCGGCGTTTCGTAAAGCGTCCAACGAGGACATCCAACACACACACAGTTGAAATGGGTATTTGATTTTAAGGAATGAAGAAGTTGGCTCACAAGCTACTTTTGCCCGTACTCCCAACCCTGGCAGCAGTTCAGAGCACCTCCTCGTCTTCTACATGAGGGCACGAAGAGATGCTCTGCAGAGCAGGCGGGCTTTCTCTCCAGGCACCGTTTCGGGACTCCTCGTCGTTTCCCGGTCTCGCGTAGCAGGTTAGGTGCTTTCCCTCCTTCTGCCCTGAGCTGTTTTGAGCTCGCTCCCCTTGCAGCAAGGTCTGCTGCGAGGGCCAGATGTGTTTCGGGGCTTGGTCTGGGGACTGTGCAACAGGTGCTGAAGCATGGCAAGAGCAGAAGGCAGGCTGTGTGCCTGTCGGCCACAGATGAAAGGTTCCTTCTCCTTTCCCTGTGAAAGAAAAGCAGTAAAGGGATGGCCCCCAACTTGCTACCCCAGGCAATGGTCAACTTTTTTCCCCCCAGTCTCACTGAAGACAGGCAGCCCTAGGGAGATCCTCATTCCTTCCTGCACCCCAGCTTGATGGGCTCCACACCAACACGAAGGCACCGGAGCACAGGTAGGGGCCCCAGCCAAGAGGGGTCAAGCAGGCTAGAGAGGCATTGGAGACTCTGCAGTCTACAGTGCTGGGTCTTGCCTTCCATCACCCCCTATTGCTCAGTGGGCTGAGACCACCACAGCCTGCCCACACCTGGCCTAACCCCACCGCCGCTGTGCTGTGAGGAAACCTGAGCTGCCTGGTTGTCATCTTCTACCCACGGCCACCTGAAGTCCCCGTGTCCTCAGCAAGGTGATGGAGATGCTAAGGGTTGGAAGGGACCTTAAAGATCATCTGGTTAAATGATGAAGGACATGATGAGATGAGATGAGATGAGATGAGATGAGATGAGATGAGATGAGATGAGATGAAGGACAGAACTCCACAGTACTGTGGACTTGCACCCAGGGTTCACATCAGTCAGTTCTGCTTTGAAGTTTGGGAAGAAAAGATGGTTTTTACTATTTTAAAAGTGGTCTCTAAGCTCGCTCTGTGTCCCCACCTCTGAAGACTGCGTCTGTGAAGCCATTCCCACCACTTTGGTCCAAAGTAAAGCCAACCCCAGTGCCAGCAAGAATGAAGACAGGAGCTCATGGTAGCTCCATCCCCAGCTGCGACCCTGGGCATAGAGGAGAGCCAAAGCAAAGCGGGGAGGTTTGGTACGCTGAGCTGGTACCCTGCTCTGAGCGTCGGGCTGAGGCAGCGACCGACACCGATGAGACACAACAGTCACAAAAGTGTGGTGCATCCTCATCAGTGACCGGCTGGTCGAGTCGGGGCAGGAGGACCAGGTTTGGGTTTGCTCGTTAGGTATTATTGGAGCCTCCAGTCTTCCGTGGCATCAGTGCCCTCACCCTCCTGCTCTTGTACTGATTCTCCAGGGCCTACACCAGACATCTGGAAGGCCTTCAACAAGTTCTCCCTCTGAGGGTGACGGAGCACTGGAACAGGCTGCCCAGGGAGGCTGTGGAGTCTCCTTCTCTGGAGATATTCCAGACCCGCCTGGACA